CTGGGGAATTCTGGGAGTTGAAGTCCACACATCTTAAAGTTACTGAGGTTGAGAAACCCTGCGCTAGCATCTTCTTTATTTATAGACTGTGTTAAGAAAATGACCTCTGGGGCCTTTGTCTGTCTGTCCAGAAAAACAGACAAAAGCCACCTTGGTTGTGTCCAGGGGTGACGTTGGTGAGATAAGAAGCCTAGAAGGAGTTGCAGGAAGCCTTATGGTAAATTGTTGTCTTGCCACTGGCTGTGCCCATCCTGGTGAGAGTGCCCATTATATGCTTAATGTAAACTCTGCCCATCAATCCAAAAAGGTCACCTGCCTCTGTATTAAGGTGTGATGCTAGAAATAAGGTTGACCACAGAGTAAATATCTTGACTCAGATTAGCTTTAAAACTTTCTCTCAAGTCCCTGATCTCTTGCTTTTATCTTCCATTTGTTTTTAGTTTTCATCCTGTGTTGCCCTTAACGCTATCAATCTTATTTTATGACTGCTATGTTGTTAGGAAAGATTACCAAGATTTTTATAACTCATCTGCATGGGGACCATTTCTTTGGCCTTCCTGGACTCCTGTGTACAATCAGCCTGCAGTGTAGTCCTGACCCCAACAAGCTGCCGGTGGATATTTATGGGCCCCTTGGGCTGAAGGATTTTCTCCAGAGAACCATGGAGCTTTCTCGTTCTCAGCTCGTTTTCCCTTATGTTGTCCATGAACTGGTTCCCACTTCCAACCAGTGCCCTGCAGAAGAATGGAAGGAAGTGTTTTCCATGAACAGAGAGGAGGTCAGCTCTCTAGAGCCACAGGGAGACACTATTTATCTGAATCCTGCCGAGGACTCATACTTCTTGATGGACAACGGACCCGTCGTGATAAAGGCTTTCAGATTGTTTCATCGTATACCTTCCTTCGGGTTTCTGGTGGAAGAAAAGCCGCGGACTGGCAAACTCAACGCTCAGAAATTGAAGGAATTAGGTAGGAGCAGTTCCAGCTTTGCTGATTAGTATAAAAGCCAACGTTTCCAGAAGGGTAGTGTTATCGGCGTTTTGTAGTAGAAACAAGCTTTTGAGTTACCTTCAACCACCCTGAAATGTGGCTGCATGGATCAGAATTCAGTTCATGAGAGCAACATTATAAGTGCACTTTGCTGCTGTTCTTGAGTGGGGGAAAGGAAATAATGAAAAGAAAAGCGAAAGAGAAAAGGACTGTATTGGTGATCAAACAAAGCAGGTAGTTGGTGTGACACAGACACTTTCCATTCCCTGTGGCTACATCTCATATCTTCCATTGTATCTGTGCCCAGAAAAATAACCATGTAGGTTTTTGGCAGCAGGAATAACAAAGATCTTGCAGGTTAACAATAGAGACTCACCAATGTATGTGCTTTTGTGCATCACATCTTCAGAGTATATGGTCAATACTCCATATATCTGTAATTAAAACCACCCTACATAGTAGGTCAGTACAGGGAGTCCTTGTGTAGTGACCACAATTGGAACTGGCAACTTGGTCATTAAGCGAAGCGGTTGCCAAGTGAAACTGCGACTGTGCTTACGATCTGACTTCAGCTTTCCTTTGCTTTTTGGACCTGTGAAGGTCATAAATGCGAGAATTGGTCACAAAGTTATTTTTTCATCACTGTCATAACTGCGAACAGTTGCTAAATGAGGCACTTGCTAACCAGGACTACCCGTATTATTCTGTTCTGGGAAGTATGAAAAGAGAGTTTTGCAGTTCCATCTCTGTATCACTACCTGAACTGAACTGAAATTCTGCAGCACTTCTGGTGATATCACATGCATGGCTATGACATGTGGCTTGGTGACTAATAGCTTTCCGAGCAGATGAAAGTGCTTTTCCCCATAAAACTAAGAATGTAGTAGTTCCTTAGGGATTAATTGATTTATTACTGTGAGTTTTTTTAGAAGTCTGCTTGTTTTTTTTTTGTTGTTCAGTCGTTAAGTCGTGTCCGACTCTTCGTGACCCCATGAACCATATTTTGCCAGGCCTTCCTGTCATTCACTGCCCCCCCGAGTTTGCTCAGTTT